TACAATATCTGAAAGTTTGAAAAAATCGGACAGAATAGAGGCTGAGTTATGAGAAGGATAACGTTGTAATCTAATTATATTTCCGCGACTAAAGTTGCATGAGTTTGTGTGCGTTTTTCTGTACTTTAAGCTCAAGTGCATAATATGAATGAAGTATCGTAGGAAGGTACATATAAAGTTGTACAATACATGGAAGTTTGAAAAAATCGGACAGAATAGAGGCTAAGGTACGATTAGTTTTGTATTCCCGACTTTTTCAATTAATTTAAGAAATCCAGTTTTATGTTTTGATGAAAAAATGAAATTGTTGCCCTTATACTGCTTGGAGCTATAAGTTTGATAGCTCAAATTAAAGATAAATTCGTTCTACGTATTTCTATCGTGTTTTTGCTGCATTAAGATGTTTATTGTGAGAGAAAATAGCGCTTTGATAGTTTTGTCGTTTTGAGTGATTGAAATTAGCCATTGCCATTTTTTGAATGTGTTTTTGAACGTGGTGGTGAACGTGTAGTTGAATATGGTGCCAATTTCACACTGGTAATATATTAACTATGGTGAGAGAGATTTCAGCTCGGCACTACGTGGTGAATAATATCCCGTAAGTAAAACATTAACGACGATTAATTGCATTTTTGTCGAATATTCGGTACGGATAGTGTTGGATTTGAATGTGTTATATGGCCATTAATTAATAGACTGGCGGTTAATAAAACTATTTTAAATGTCACAGACGGTTTGAAATCTGATCGATACCAGTGATAAGTAAACTTGTTTTCACTATATTTTTTTAATATTTATGATCGGATACATACATATACTACAATCATAGTGAACGCCTATATGGTCCGAGTCCAATCACTTCCGGCTGCCGGAAAAGAAAATGTATTAGAAGCTTGAGAAGCTTCCATGGAAATTTTAATCCCTTTGAAAGATTCTTTATGAAATAACTAAATGACTAAAAGCACACCATCTAGTTTTGTGCATAAATTGAAGTGTATTTGTTGATGTAATTTTTTTACTAATTTAGAAAGATTTAATTTTTCTACGTACGTGTTAAAAACGTTTGACTGCTTTCCAGTTAGG